TATGCCGTACGCACTATGCTATGCCGTACGCGCTTGTGACAGCGCCGTGCAACGCGCAATCTGCAAGCATATACGATCTGCAAGCATATGCGATCTGCAATCATATGCCAGATGCGACCTGCAAGCATATGCCACATTCGATGTGCAAGCATATGCGATCTGCAAGCATATACAATCTATGCTATGCTGTGATATGCCGTACGCGCTATGCTATGCTTCGCTATGCCGTACGCACTATGCTATGCCGTACGCGCTTGCGACAGCGCCGTGCAACGCGCAATCTGCAAGCATATACGATCTGCAATCATATGCGATCTGCAAGCATATGCGATCTGCAATCATATGCCAGATGCGATCTGCAAGCATATGCCACATTCCATGTGCAAGCATATGCGATCTGCAAGCATATACGATCTATGCTATGCTGTGATATGCCGTACGCGCTATGTTATGCTTCGCTATGCCGTACGCACTATGCTATGCCGTACGCGCTTGCGACAGCGCCGTGCAACGCGCAATTTAGCGTGCAATTCAGCGTCAGCGCCGCTACGGAGCTACGGCCCACTTGCGCGAACAGCGCGCTCTAGTCCGTCGCCGTAGCTCCTACGAAGTAGGAAAGCGGAGGCCTTAGGCCGATTCGCCGTCCCTCCGTCCGTCTCTCTGTCCACCACGTCGCGAGTTCGATCCCCCTCGCGTGCGCGTCTTTTTTTTTGCCTGCTTTTTTTTCTTTTTTTTCCACATATAAACATATAGGACCACAATTCGATGCGCGCTTTTTTTTTCCTTCGTATGCTTCATATGCTATGTTTCTTCGTATGCTTCATATGCTATGTTTCATATGCTTCATATGCATCACAGCATCAAACAATAAGCACAACATATGCGACCTGCAAGCATATACGATCTGCAAGCATATGCGATCTGCAAGCATATGCCAGATGCGATCTGCAAGCATATGCCACATTCGATGTGCAAGCATATGCGATATGCAAGCCTATGCGATCTGCAAGCATATGCCACATTCGATGTGCAAGCATATGCGATCTGCAAGCATATGCCAGATGCGATCTGCACGCATATGCCACCTTCGATGTGCAAGCATATGCAATATGCAAGCCTATGCGATATGCAAGCATATGCCACATTCGATGGCAAG